CCAGAATCCATTTACCTATTCGGCCTCTTAACAAAGGGCGGGACAACATATATTTGACAATATCAGTCTTGGCAACCACATACACCTCAGAATAAATCAAATAATGTCTTAATTTTATTGCAGCAAAAAAGAGAGGAAGACACAACTTTTCGACCGAAGAGTATTTCACTTCGGTCTGGGTCAAACATCGACTCAAGTAATACACAGCCTGCTCCTGTTTTTTATCATTTTCCTGCGCCAGCAGACATCTTATGGACTCGTCTGCGGCGGATATATACAAAATTAAAGGTTTATTTTTCACAGGCGGTACAAGTACTGGTGGTCTGGATAAGTACCGCTTTATCATATCAAAGGCGGACTGGTGGTGTTCTTCCCACTTAAAATCCGCCTCAGACTTGAGTTTCAACAGAGGAGAAAAGACTCTAGTTTTCCCAGCCAAGTTAGAAATGAAACGTCTTAAGAAATTAACTTGGCCAAGAAATCTTTGCAACTCCTTCTTGTTTTGTGGTGGTTTCGCTTCAATCACAGCCCTGGCTTTGTTCTTGTCAACCTCCAGACCACGCTCATGCACCAAGTACCCAAGGAAGTTACCTGCAGACACTCCAAAGGCACACTTAAGTGGGTTCATTTTCAAGCCATGTTGCCTCATTCGCTCAAAAGACTTCCTCAAATGAACCAGGTGGTCTGCTTCCCCATTTGATTTCACCACAACATCATCAATATAAATTTCCATGAATTTACCAATCATATCATGAAAAATTGCATTCATGGCTCTTTGATAGGTAGCTCCAGCATTCTTCAGACCAAATGGCATCACAACCCATTCAAAAGTTCCAACAGCACTTGGGCATCGAAAAGCTGTCTTAGGAACGTCTGCGTCTGCAATAAAAATTTGGTTGTACCCACTATGACCATCCATGAAAGATAGAATTTTGTGACAGGCTACTCCATCAACCAACAAGTCTGCAATTGGCATAGGATACTCATCCTTTGGTGTAGCTAAATTCAAGTTTCGGAAATCAACACAGACTCTTAATTTTCCATTCTTTTTCAGCACAGGTACTACATTAGATAACCAGTCTGCATACCTGCATGTCCGAATGAATCCAGCTTTTACCAGCCGCTCAATTTCTTTTTTCACCTTCAAAGTGACCTCTGCAAACATGCGTCTGGGCGGCTGTTTATACGGTCTGAATCCTTCTGCAATTGGCAATTTATGTTCCACCAATTTTCGATCCAGACCTGGCATTTCTGAGTAATCCCAAGCAAAACAGTCTTTAAATTCATGCAAAAGTCTAACAATTTGATCTCGTGTCTGCGGCTCAAGGGAACCGCTGACAAATGTAACCTTTGGCTCACTTTCAGACCCTAAATTGATCTCCTCCAATGGATCTTGAACTTCAGCTTTTAAGTCATCCAACTTGGCTGGGGCAAGATCCAGCTCCTCCAAAGTTATTTCATCATCCTGGTCTGCCTCATCACCTTCATGAACAATTTCAGACCTGTCTACTTGAACTGCTTTTTCAGCAAAATAGGCCGCTAATTTCTTTGTTATCTCCAACACGGCCTTTTCTCTTTCCTGTCTCAGACGAGCTTGCTTCATTAGATTTCTTCAATTTTTAGTTTCCCCTTCGGCCTATAAGGAATTATTGTTGTTGGCCGAAGAAGTTCATCACAGACTTCCCCCACAGCACGCTTAGACAAAGATGGTCTGCTGCATGCTGTTATCCCAATCGGTTTCCCATGTCTATCCATCCCAAAAAACCGAATGGTACCAATGTCTTCTTCATAATATCTAGCCTCCACCAGGTGAGTGTTGGCTGAAAAAGGCTTATTATCTGCAGACACGACCTCAGCCTTGCCACCATTCCAGAAAATCAGTTTCTGGTGAAGTGAAGAAGGGACACACCAACTTGAATGAATCCAATCACGCCCCAAAAGTGCATTATAAGTAGCAACAGTATCCACCACAAAAAACGCAGACATCAGTGTCTAATTTCCCACTGTTAATTCAACAGGCAGCACACCCCTTGAATGATTCACCCCTCCTGTAAAATCACTAATTGTAACTTCAGTATGCACTAAATCATCAAGAGACTTGCCTATTTTGTAGAGCATGCAAGTTGGAAGGACATTGACTGCAGCTCCATTATCTACCAAGACACGGCTGATTGGAGTCCCATCCATGTGAGCATTGATATAAAGTGGCCTA